TGCTACAATTTGATATTGAATACAATCTCAGCAAACCCGGAAACTGATGCGATGCATGGGTGAGGCATCAGATGTCCCAATAGAACCGCCGAGCCAAACTGAGTTGCTTGATAAATGTGACGAGCTTGCCGGTGTCGTTGGCAGCGGTGTGCCCGGTGGTGAGTAATCTAGTTTTTAAGCGTGTCAATATTGTCATATTTTGCCTTATCATCACGCGCGCTTACAAATGCTGATGTTTCTCTTTTTATGACCTCGCCACACGCACAGCTGGCGGCTACGATGCAATTTGGGTACTCGTCTATTCGCCTGAAACAGCTTCCCTGATTGGTGCTGCAAATGTGGTGAAACTATGGAACGATTGGTCGAATGTCTCGGTTCGAGCTCTCTCAAAAGATGCATGCGTAGCGGGTGGTACCTTGATCCGACCCACGGGTATCAGACTTGAGACCATGAAGGAGGTGAAGGGGCTTGAGGATGTATTGAGTGGTAAAAGACGCATGAGTACTGTGGCGATCCCAAATTGATTGTCCGTACCATAATCACATAAAAAATCAGAGATGCATATCATATCCTATAGAGCTCAACATACAAGCGAACTGGCGATAATGTGGGTAGTATACGTAGGTAGCCTTACGTTTTGTGGGCAGATCCAATATTACAAGTATAATTCCGATCTCAATGGAGCACATAAGTATAAATATGGCTGCATTTGCTTTCACATGTGTACATATCATGCTCATGCCACTCGCAGCCTGGCTACCACACGCAAAAGATATCTGAACAATTTATCATAAACCTGGGCTCACTGAATCACATACGGGCAGTTCAGACTGCTTCCCATGTCTCATGTAGAAATGAGACTCGAAACTCAGCCAAGTCTGATCATATCATACAGAATTGGTAGCCATCGATATCACATCTCCTCCGGGCGCAATCGATTTTGTGATTGAACAATGTGCCCCTTCAGAAGAAAAAAAGAAAATTCATCTTTGACAGCAAACCATGACCATGGACCTGCTACCTGATAACTGAATTTGGTAACAAACTGTGATACGGTGAAAATATAAATCGCTTGAATCATTGCTCTATCTTTCCTTCTGTCAAAACGCCAAAGATACTCTGGAATCACTGGTAACATATGATAGCAATGAACTTCTCGAAGAGCAATCTCAATGTTTGCTATTCATGTCGACCAACTCTGCTATAGATGTACCATCGACTCATCTTCAACGTCGCCACATCGCTCATGGCCAAACGCACTCTGCTCCACGCGTCGTGCCTCGTGGTCAAGTCTCCTGGCATCTCGCAATAACAAGCAAGTCGTGCGCATGTCCAGAAGTGGTCAAGATGATGACACCGCATTGGCCTTTTAATAAAGTGTCAACAGTTTTCCAGGAAGGCCGGATGTCTCACTTTCCAGGGGTGAGAATGATACCAGTCTTTTGACTAATATTTGCGGGGTCCTTTAAATAGTTTGGGTCCTGTTGAGGGTAATGTCCACGATCCCAGCAGATAATGTGATCCCATCTCAATTAGCTCAGTCCAAAACTTCACATCAAGGAACCTTACACACCTTTCATCGTATTTTGCCGGGATGCGCCCAGCACAAATCCAAGAATGCTATAGATGATTAATTCAACTTCATTTTGAATTTCTTAAGCTGATGGTGTTGGTAATGCTCTTTTGACTCTCCGTATTTTCAGGCTGTGGTCACTATAAAAAGCGCCCTGCCGTGACATATTTTCTTCCCAAAACCACATCATCCCAAACCCGAAAACAAAGCCATTTACCACCTTCTTGAAAGATCCCTCCAATTTCTTTTCTTGCATTTGTTGAAAAGTCTCCCAAGACGCCGAACATAAATCGTACGCTTACAAAGCAAATGGTTATTTGATTATAGTCCTATTTACTTACTAGCTCTATTTCTATTTCCTCACAGATACCATATCATTTCCTTGGTCAATCCTCCAAACCTCTCAAAAATAATGTCTCCGTCATCGTCCACGAATGAAAAGGTTTCAATTAGGACGTTTGGACTCTCGTCGCCTTTTGCATATCCAGTGAATTTCTTCGGTCGCTTTTCTCTTCTTATTCATATCCTCAACGTTTGATGATCGTTTGATTGACAGGCTGAATCTGGATCATCAATTGGCCGAAAGGTATCCGCACAAAAGGTAAGCCTCTAGACTGTGCGAATGATTCATTTTCAAGATACTCACCTTGCGTGATCCGATCTTGTCTTAGAAGAATCATGATGGAAGATACCTCGATGGATCATGTGCACCAGTCTCCAAATTGGCCCAAGACTCAAACAGTCTCCAATCGCCATTCTCTTCTCCTGTAAGCTGTTTTTATAAATATGTATTGTTTAATCTAGCTTGAGTAACCCCTTGTACATTGTTACAATTCTCATTAGGTATCGAAAAGAGCACGCGGATCCTCTCGACACTTGGTATGTTGTTGTCCTGATAAGTGTTCTAGAGTCTGATCACTGATACCTTGATTAAACTTGACCTGGATGGTGAAATAGGCGGAGCTCTCACCTGAGCGTACTACAGTATACTCAACTCCGGTCCGCTACCACCTGCCTACTCGTATGCGGGTGATTCCAAAGCCAGAGATATCATGCTTTGAGTCTGATGACGAGGATAATGATAATCACTTGAGTGTCAAGAAGGTGAGAAAATGTCTCTTTGGATCGAAATCTCTCAGAAAACCATTATCGTATCCTTACTTGTTATTTTTTTACATAAACATAGGCACTGAAAATGGCAAGTGACGCGCTGGCGTGGTGCACAAGGAGACAAGCCAATTCCTTGGTCACACCCAAGGTACATCGATCTATTTTTCTTTAGGCTTGCTTCCGTTTCTGACAAACCTGTCTATCAATTTAGTCATTTCAACATGACAACAACAAGATGCGGGAGCATCAGGGGGCTGGAGACACAGATCCAAAGGTGAGTTGCTTCCAGAACTGCTTTATCTCAAGCTTCATCCGATCTTTAATGGTTTCATTGCAATATCGTACATACAGATCCGGAAGCATTCTGCTGATGGAAAATGGAGAATGGGCAGTGACCCAAGAACTCTAGCACACAAAGTTCAATGGTCTGGCAGTACCCTGAACTCTGTCACGGAAGCCTGCACAGCCCCGGTCCCGATGTGCAGGGAAACAACAGGACCAAACGCTTCCAAGAGATTGGCACCAGCCATGCACTCAGACTTGGCAGGCACGGAGGTGAAGATGGGAGAATCAACCTCACAATGGATTGGCTGGTACGGATCCAATCCATTGAAATCACAGATGTCTCACGGTCCATCAAATGAGGC